GGACCCCCAGGTCCGAGCCAGCAGGGTGGGCTCTGAGTGAGGAAATGACGGGACAGCCCTGCCTGGAGCCGCCTAGGGAAGAGCCAGGGCTCACCTGGGCAGGCCGGGCAGCAGTGGCCAGGCCTCAGGACTGGCTCAGGGCAGGGGCTGGCCGGGCACTTCATGGGCACACAGCGAACCAGGCTCCTCTGTAACGTACCAACAGCTGTAAAGCCTCTGGGTCTGGCTCCCAGAGAGAGCACGGCAGGCAGGTGTGGGCACCCTTGGGAGGTGGGCACAGGTCAGGCAGAGAGTGAAGGGCCCGGAACACATGTGAGGCTGAGAGCAGGGCACCTCCCAGGAGGAGCAGGGCCGGGGCAGAGGGTGCAGGGACTCACCAGGCAGGAGCACTGGAGACAAGGGTTGGAGCTGGACGGGAAGCTGGCCCCCACCTCGTAAAGCTGCCCCTCGTACTCACAGCCTGGGGAGGGTGCCAGGATGACAGGCTGGTCAGGTGAGATCGGGGTGGGCGGGCATCACCCCCGGGAAGGCATGACCCCAAAGAGGAGCCGGACCCTCGGGGCTGAGGGGGTGGAGGGAAGGCAGGGTGAGGAGGTCACCTGGCCGGCAGACGGGGCAGCACTCCCCGGGTGGGGTGTAGCTCTCCAGGCAGCTGAGCTCTGGGCACGAGGGCCCCTGGCACCGCACAGTCCCTGCCTGCGGGGCAGACACTGAGCCCTCCCTCCCTCCCTCTCCACTGCAGGCTACTGGGAGCTACTCCGCTGGCCTGCAGGCCTAGCGGGCTCCGGGCCTCGATGCCTGGGTGGCAGCAGCAGCCCTGGCAGGCCCCAGGTTGGGGTGGCGCTGCCAGGCCTGGGGGTTACCAGCAGAGCAGCAGGGACCTGGGTGGTGGGTGGTGGGTGGGGCCAGGCTCTGATCCCTTACCTGGCAGGTGCAGGTGACACAGGGCTCGGGTTGCCACGTCTCCCCAGCCCCGGGACCTTCAGGGCAGCCTACAACACCAAGGCCAGGCCCCCAGTAAGAGACCCTGAGGCTGTGGCCAGAGCACCCGGGAGGGCCCCACGACAAGGGAGCACCTTCGGGTGGTCGATGGCAGAGATCTTGGTATTTACTTCCACTTTCCAGGAAATGGCAGTAAAGCGTCTGACTCTAACATAATCAGTAGATTTCCATTATTTACGGCTGATGGAAGTGTTGAGGAAGGGGTGCCTTTAAAAAACGTTTTTTTAACATTTCTTTTTATTTTTAGAGAGAGAGAAGAAGGGAGGGAGAGAGAGAGAGAACATCGATTGGTTGCCTCCTGTA